CCTTGAGTACTTAACTCCTGCACGCCATCGTGGGCTCCGGGAGAATCCATTGGTTTTCTTTTTCACCGCTGTCGCCTTCGATCAGGCGGGTAAAAATCTGAGGCTTGATTCAAAATAAGCGAAGAAAGTGCATTTATACGGGACAGTTGCGAGTATCTCCAGTTCATAAGAGATATCGTGAATGGCGTCGATATTACGCGTGTGATTCTGTTCAATGAGAGAGAAATATTTGGCGCTTGTAACTATAACCGTCGTAGCGGAAGAATTACATCGATGGAAGATTATAGTTGCCTTCGGCACTAATTACATCCACTTTTTTCACTTTAAATACATAAAAATAGTTAGGAGAACCGTTATTCTAGTGAATGTTACTGTAGGCGGTGCCGGTGATAATAACCTCACATGCATGTTGCTGCTACTGTTTCTCCAGTTAAAACATAAAAAGGATACAGTTGAGGCCGACAATAACTATAATTTCTCTCAGTGTTGCCACAATAGACGGAGAATACTAAAAAGCTGAAGGAAACATTAAATATCGGTGTTTCGTGATACGGAAAACTAAGGGAAACCAAGCACAACCAACCACCGAGGGAAGATGCCGAAGGTGAAATGAAAGCCAAGAGAGAAATTCACGAAACTTTGATACGGGGCGAAATTACTCCACCGGGAAATAAAATAATGCCAACTGATGTTAATTGGCTTTTGTTGTTGGCTCTTTCACCGAAAATGTCAGAACAGACGCGAGTACGAGCTAAACGATTACTTACGCTTTAATGCGAGAAGTTAGCAGGCGGAAATGAAGTAATCCCGAGAGGCGGTAATTGATCTTTCCGGCTGACCTCTCTCCGCTGGTAAACGAACAAATGGATACAAATGAAGTACAAACGAAGTACAAGGAGATGCGGGTTTGAAGCGGGTATCCGCGAAAATCGGGCCGGAAGATCGTCGGCTTTTCGCCGCGCACCTTCGCGGCTTCAGGAACGGACTCATTTCGCTCACCGGTTTCTCTATTTCTCTTTCTCCGAGCGAGAGCGCAAATCCCGTCCACCTTTCATCGTTCCACATGATGACAGAGTTCATCGATCCTCTGACAAAAGGGTGCCGGGCGAAGCGTAGCGATGGTTAGGTGTTCCTTCCTTTCACCGACGGCGAAATGTTCCCGGCCATTTGAGGTACTCATCCCGTTCTACACAACTCTTTCTCTGTGATCTCTGAGTTTCTGCTCCCCTTTCTACCTTTATCGCGGTAGTCGTGCGCAAACGCATCCTCACCCGTCGCGCCCGCACGTCCTTCCCTTATCGTTCATTAACATTTCACAGGGGTCCACTTGCGCGATGGACACGTTAATCTCGCACGTTTAATTTAAAACATAGTCTTCGAGGGACCAGTGACGCAAATTCACACCCTGGTGAAAGAAGACTCATCGCTACGCTCGGGATAATTTCCCGTTGTCAATTATTTGGTTCACGACGAGCTAAGCTTTTACAGAGAAAGGAGAGAGGGAGAGAGGGAGGATTTGTGCAATACCATCATCGATTCCTTACATTTTTCTTCTCCTTTTCTCCCAGCTGAAATTTTAACACAGCCGTGAGCCGTCGTAACTGCCGGTGTAACGCCACATCGTGACGCGAAGAAACTTGAGTTCATTCGTTGTCCGTGAAATTTTTCCCTCTCGGCTTTAACATTCATAAAACTCCCCGTACTTGCAGCTGTAACATACGCGTCCTCTTTCTCTTTTGTTTTGACAAGTTTAATTTTGTATCAATATTTCTTACGCTCTGAACTTGATTGGGAAACTCTGATTGGAGAATTCTCCAATACGGAATGGAAAGCTCATAATGACAGATAACGAAAAATATTATTTAATCCGCTTACGAATATACATGTTATTAATATTAAACGCGGCCTTCGTATATATCAATATTTGATACGACGTGACCGATATCCAAATGATGGAGATAAAAGGCGAAACATATAGCGATAAAAAAAAATATTAATTTTCAAATAGCAATTTAAATAGCTTTAAAATCGCGGAGGACGCGAAAATCATGTGACGCATTTGATTATTTTTATTTTTCGATTTCTATAATACATACCATATTTAATTAAAACTAACGAAAACCCGGCCTCAAAGCGTTGAAATCTCCCTTTCCAAAACTTAATTTTAGCCAGGACTGAAATCTCATCTATACCTGGCTTGATAAAATATGTGAAACGAATGTTGCCCTCAAATCATATCCCACTCAGCTTTTTACGTAACTTCTGATTTACAGCTCGAATTTTTCGTTATTGCGCGGACTGGCTTTTACTTTGTGACGAGCGAGTTATATAATTTTCTATAGTTGTTTCTCAACGACGTCGTTCCGCCAGCTCTCCTTCGAGGAAGACGAGTCGATATTTACGAGCGTCGTGTGTTGCACTCATAAACCGTAAAGTCCATTTAATTTTACGCGCGCCTATAAAAGCGTTCTTTGACTGGCACGTCGCTAGTCGACGAAATAATAATGCTTACTGAATTATATACGCGTTATCGTGTGAGAGCAATAGCTTAGATAAGCGTAAAGGCCTACGTCTTTTTTAACTGAATTAAGATTTGATCATTTGTGTGGGCCAACCGAGCAAAAAGGCACCGCATGACTCCGAAACGCCGTTTTCCTCCGGTAAAACGAAATTTCTCTCATGTATATATAAATATAGAAAGAGGGAGAGAGAGAGAGAGAAAGAGAAAGAGGGAGAGAGAGAGAATATTCTTATGTATAAAACTTTCCAAATCACGAGACTCAAATCGATGGATGAAATTTGGAAATGCAGAACGTCGGACCCAATATAACGGATTAGAATGTAGAAGCAAGTTGGTTGTGCATGAGGATCATTCCTGGAAGTTCCTATCTTCAGAGTCGTTTGTCGCGATCGTGAAACTTGAAATCGAACGTAACATCGACTTCGTAATTTCGCTCGGTCTTCTCTAACTTGACAAGTTGCAAGCGCATAAATTTCGAGAAGCGCCTGACAGATACAATGTATTAGCTCGCACCGCATAACTTATATAAAACTTGCACAGTCGCGAAAGCTCGCGTAACTTATATAAATGTAGTCTAATCTAACCGTCCACCGTCGCGTTCTCAGGAATCACTCAGGATGGAACGACACGCATATTTCACTGCGGATGATCGCCGAAAGTGGGACGAAAGTGGAAAATGGCCCGGCGATCTTCGTCGTTCAACGTGCCCCGGGTGCAACAACTACTTCGAAAGAATCGTTCATGGCGTTCATTTTTTATTCATACGCGCCTTCCGGATAATTATCGGGGTCGGAGTAAAACGGGATAACGGCGGTGTCACCTCAGCGGAAACTCGCATAAAACTGATAAGAAATGTTGGATTCGGGATCTGTTTTATGAAACGGAAATTCGTAAAACACACGAATTGAAGATATTTGCTTTAATACAGACCGTTGCAAGAGATTCTATAAAAGTATGCTGCGGGAATATTTCAATCGGTGCGATTTTTACGCGCCCAAAGTCCGCAAAACGGTGCAACGAAATGGCATTTCATTATTTCCTCTGCGAGAGATAATGAGTGTTCTCCACAAGGGGAACGGAACTTTTAATCCCGGTTACTCCAACAGTGACTGACCGGCATTATGCAAATTACATGTTTTCGCAACCAGATTAGCCACGTTGTAACGGGCCATCAATTCAGGAAACCAATACCCCTACCGTATATTACAAGGTTTTAGTGACGTTGCAGGAAATAGTGTAATAATTTAGCATGAATCAATGTAACGACTTACCGTGCTTCTCCAACGGCGATCCTTACATCAGGAACCGACGGGACAAACTTTTCGCAACAGCTCAGCCGTGAACAATGCTAAGCTAACGGTGTTTCGTCCGATTCTTCGGTCCCCCACAGAGGACGGAAACTGACAGAATTCAATTCGTATTGGCCAAAATCGAGGTGACTGGCATTACCCCCTGAACCCGTAAAAGTCCCATAAATTCGCTCCTCGGAATCTGCGGAGAGATCGGCGGGCTCGAGTACCCTCGGATTGAGGATCCTTAAAGAGGACCGACGGCGACAAGTGACGGCGGGCGTGACGCTGTCTCGTATATCAATTAATTTTATTATAACACGATTATCGAAATCTCGCCCCGGAACCCTCGCTGTCGAGGAGATAAGCACAGAGGAGGCTCGGCGAAAACGGCGGGACTCCTTTCCGGGACATTAACTTCGTCCCAGACGGCGATTCGCTTTCCATCTGTTCGTCGATCATTAACTCTCTCTCTCTCGACTCCATTTAAAATCATCTCGTCGTCTCGTTACGCCGCTTGTTCGCGCTGCTGCGGGCGATACTCCCGCGCTTGTATCGAAAACGGAAATCTATTGTCGCGACCGGTCGATAGTCAAGCCTTTGAACCGGAGACACCGCGAATGCCGTGAATTACGACGTTAGGGAAACGGAACGATATGCTCGTTTGGCTGGTAAAGTGACAGCGTATTTTTCCTCCCCTTGACGTATATGTCGAAATATATGAATTTTAATAGGATGTTAATCCCACTCTATTAACGTTATCCGCGCAAACGTGCGGCCTTTGTGCCCGCCCTGGCCGAATATATCAGCCCGTGATTCTATTTAATAATCATATCATTTTATCGATTTGAGACAATGCGCGAGCCGTGACTCGAAACTACTACCGTTTCTACGCGGAAGATTCATATAAATTTCTTTGAAATGCAATATATACCGGAGAACATCAAAGGCCGGCTAATTGGCCCTCCTTCGCACGCAAATAAAGCGATTCGCAAGCCGCGTTTCCGTTTCTCCGTACGCGAATGAGGCAGCGGGAAGTTGAAAATTGCATTGACTTGAATTTTCTTATTATATTTTTCAACGCCGACTTTCCTCACTGTCCGGCGAAACGGGGGGAACGGATAATCGAGTTTCTCCTTCCACGGAAACTCGGAATAATGAACAAACAGCATTATCTCAGTGTCTTTATTGGTACACTTTATAACTTCTCGGGGATGCAATTTTCCGACGATCTCTCCCCCCGGTAAAACCATTTGAATTAACAGCAGTCGGGAAATGAGCTCGCGCGCCCTTCACATTTACGGACATCGTACAAGTGTCGTGTTCGCGAAACAAGGCAGGGGCTCGGCTGCCGTGGTCCGCGAATCCGAATCGAACCTGCGAAGTACACTCGTAAAGGAGGATCAGTAATGACGATTACAACGATCGGGGGTACGGATTAAGCTCCTTCTCGCTTTCGATCGCTCGACCCGACTCGCACGTCCTCCCGCGTGCGGGGAATACCCACGAATCCGAATTCGCAAGCACGGGCATTCCCTTCGACTCTCCGTCCGAGAAGGAAATCGAGAGAAAATATAAAAGTTCGTAATGTATACATCTGTCCGGCGCAAGTTGAAGAATCGGAGACACGCGCCCGCGTGTGTTCGCCTACGCGACATCAAACATCGAATATCCTACGGATCCGCAGACATTCGCCGTTACAAACAGGGATTCGCTCGCACGTCGGCCAGTCCGCGCCTCATGCGTGGCCCCGGTGAATTTATTACCTGCAACAGCAAACAACACATTCGAATATAAAACAAACGTGTCGCCGCACAAATGGAGCGAGAATTTTCCACATTGCTAACTGCCAACTCCGCCGGCTGACCTTCCCCCGTTATTC